GTATCATAACTGCTCTTATCATGATACCGCGTTGCCTCATAATTCAGAGGATGATCCGCGAGTTTCTGCGGGAAGGCCTCCCTCTGGGTGAAACTCCTGAGAGCATTGGCCAAACGAGTGAGATCATTGACAGGATTATTGCCCCCCAATTGTCCCTTGTAATCGTAATTGGAGGTCTGACTGAGAGCAGCTTTGCTCTCTGCATACTGACTCAGATACTGCTGCAGCAGTGCCTTGAGATTGATGCTGGGAGCAGCCTGAGGCTGAACAGGAGGTGCCCCATCGACTCTCAGGATGATAACAGGTATCAGAGAGTTGCCAGCCTGAATGAACGTCGGTTGAGCATTGAGGATGGACGATGGATCCCTGATGTACTGGGAAATCGATGGATTGTAATTCAACAGGTTCTCGTAGTTCGGAGGGTGTTCCCTCATTTTACCCGATTGACCACTGAACACCTTCGTCAGGTACTTCTGGGCCTGGGGTGTGTATTTAGACAGCAGATTAGGCGCCAGTTGACCTGAAGAATTAGTGATATGCATTAATTAAAATTATAAATTCTAAATATTATTTGTCATCCCGTGGATCGTAATGTAATCGTAAGGATGAGGATAAGGATGAGGATTATCATTTGAAATTGAACCAATATTATTTGAATAGATTTGTTACAAACCTGAAGGTGTCAGAAGATTTGAACTCGGTGGAGTGGTTGAGTACTCAGGGTTCGGACTGTCGACAGCGTACATCGGTCTCGTTGGCTCGTACCTGGAGCTCTGCTCTCTCTGCCTGAACCCATATTTATGCTGGTAGGAGAGATCGTACTGCTGGGGCTGTGATCCCGGATTGTAGTTCTGAGTGCCCTGGGGATACCTCGGCTCCTGGTCCACTGGAAACTGCGCGGGTCTCTGATTGTGGATGTTGGTGGGTGGAAGCTCCTGACTGGGTTGATAACCACTCAGGCTCTGGTACTGGACGTCCTGGGGGTATCGTGAATCCTGGGGACGATGAGTCTCGTATCTGGGGTCCTGGGGGGCCCTCTGGAAGCTCTGGGGTGATCTCGGGGTTGAGTACTCCGAGTAAGA